ATATTAAAATATAGTCAGAATTCAGATGTGCAGTGTAAGAAGGGGTGGAGACATATTACATCTCCAGATACAACGAGAAGGTTGTTTATCATCAGTTCTCTTATAAACGATCACAATTGGAGTCTGGACATTTCAGATCTTTCGATACCACATATGCCCTGTTGTAACCTAAGGTCCTCAGTGAAGGCCCTGCTCTTCATTCAACCGTCCCACCTGAGGACCAGAGGTGACTGGGCCTTTTCTGTCAGGGCTTCCACTCTTTGGAACAATCTTCCTGAGGAGATTTGTCTGATTTAAATCTAACTTAAAGACACATTTTTGTAGGTGTGCCTTGGTCTAGTTACCATTGATGATTTTATGTTTCAGACTGTACCTTAAAGAGAGTATAACAAGCTCACATCAAATGTATTCAGTTTATTAATTAGAATAACTTAATTTTTTCCTTACAATGTATCTGAGACCAAGGTCCGCCAGTACAGGATAATACTCAGGAACAGAGACCATCCTCTCCACTTCGGTAGAGGTGAGAGCAGTCCCGTTGGAGAAGACGAAATAAACCACCATCACAGTGATAGTTGAAGCTCTGAGGGGAGAAAACACTCAAACACTGAACTTGAATCAACAGTTTTAGATTTTCAAATCTAAAATCCTTATCATCAGCTACCAACATTAAATAAGTGAGCCTCCATAATATGACTGTTTTCAGACAAACTTGCCCCACCTAGTGGACAAAAACTGAACGTCGACGAGAAGAGTTTCTGTCAACACCAGCCAGTGTTTTGACTGTAGAATATATTCTGATGTCAAGTTAGTGTTAAACTTGCCTGGATATTTCACCAGTTTCAGGCCTGATTGCAACAACTTCAACAGCAGTCTTGGTGGCAGCAGTGAGCGACCTGGACATGTAGAGATCAGAGAAAATACTCAGTCATTAATGAGAACAGAATTAAGTTCTCCATCATCAGTTTTAATCTCTTTTTAAAACACACTATGTCCTGAAGAAATCTTTACCAGATAATTTTATCACGATCCTGTTCAACTTCCTCTACAGTTCTTGTAAACTGAAGTTCGACTTTATACGATTCGTCAACTGTGAAAATCTGCAATATGAAAACAGTATAAATACAGGCTGCAGTTTTTTGTCACTCACATTGGTGCTTTCAAAGATAGATGAGCTAAAGCCTCATTTAATTTCATTGGCTCACCTCCAGTACGGTTCTGCTGGAGAGGCCACCAGTATCAGTTGCAGTCACCGTTACTAAATATTTCCCCTTCAGTGACATGTCTAGTCCCTCAGTAGTTCTGTGGAATGTTGAAGAAATCATAAGAGCAGTAATAGACACAGACACCAAGTACAGACACATAAAAGGCCTCATATCCTTCTTCCTTATTGTTTTCTGACTTTTTGTGGGTTGTTTGTGTTGTTTCACTTTATTAAGGGTTAAGGGAAGCTACAAAATTCTGTTTCTGTTGGTGTTTTTTATCTCACTCATTGTGTCACCTCTGGCTGTTTTGTTTCTGTTCTCAAAACTGGTGATCACTTCTTCAAACGTGAAAAAAACTACTAAAAAAATAACATGCCTCCATACTGCTCCTGTGGTGTCATCCTCCTCTGGAGCCACGTTTATGTTCATGCACAAGCCCTTTTTATCTGTCTCTCTTTTTCAGCTTCTCCTTTCAATATTAACAGTCACTTCAAATCCAACTCTAACACACTCACACATGCACCAAAAGTTGTAAGAACAACCACATACATGTTTAGAGCTGAATGATTTGTACTAACTAGTATGATGCTGATGGATTATTGTTTACTCACTGAATAATCCCAACATAAATATCCTTCTGTTGTGTGGTGATGGCCTCAAACAGCATCCTCATGTTACTTGTGTGATTGGTGGTGTCTTCGAACTGGACATTTGTTACTTTAAAGTCAATCTGCCTGTTAACTCCAGAGTCAAGATCTGTAGCCTGAGAGCAGTGTGAGATACAAGCAAGAAAGCCTGGACGTCATTTTTATGTATGTTATAACAGGCTGAAATCATGTTAGTTCTTTTTTCCTCTTTCATACTCACAGTGACACCTGCAACTGACGTCCCTTTGCTTGCACTTTCAGACACCACAACTAAAGAGGGGAAAGAAGGGGTATTAGAACAAAGGATACCTTTGTTTATAATTGTGGGTGTGTAATTAAATGAGACTCGATCTGGTAGATCACCTCCGCTGGCTACAATGCAATCTGATTGGGCAACTGCAACAGTCAATGAAATGTCCTCTACAAGAACTTTTCATCTCCAATTAAAGGCTCAAATAATTGTCTTCACTAAGATAATACTTCTGTGTTAGAAGCCTGGTTGGACCAACAAACTGGTTCACTGGCATGGTGGTCTGTATTTAAATAGCGCTCTTAGTCTTAATGACCACTCAAAGCACTTTACAGAACAGGTTATTGCAGTTCATACATTCACACACACATTCATACAGTGCATCTATGGACTGCACTTTTTCTATGAGGGGCAATTTGGGGTTCAATATCTTGCCCAAGGACACTTCTACATGCAGATGGGGAAGACTGGGATTCAACCAACGCCCCTCTGGTTGTAGGACGACCACTCTCCTCCCTCAGCCACAGAGAAGAAGCACTTTGTAGTCGGCAGGACTGTGTGTTTGTACCGGGAGGAATGTTATTGTGGGGACACACACTGGCAGGCCATGCTCAGCACGACAGCACCCACATTTATATACATAGCGCCCAGGTTGAAAATGCCAGAATTCCCCTTTAAGGAGTCACAAGTGGAAAAAAATACGAACCAAATACAGACTCTGAGGGAAGGAATTCTGGAGCGTTGTCATTGATGTCCTCAATGTTGATCACCATTTTTTCTGAAACAGATCAAATTAAAGCACAGTGTGTGTTTGATGATTTTATGCCTGTACTATGCTTTTACTGCTTTGATTTGATTGTCTTATCTCCAGCCCCAGTTCTGACCTGTTTTAACACTGTTGTTTTCTCCCTTCTCAGTGAACTCGTCCAACACCTGGGCCTCTATCACCACCTGGTCACACTGTTCATAGTCCACTCTGTACGACAGGTTGAGTCTGACTTCCCCCGTTGGATCGAGGATAAACCAGCTGCAGGGTATTAGAGAGCCGTTGCATCTGCAATTCATGGATTCCAGTTCATAAACCAGTGAGTGGTTTCCGTCTTTGTCCTGGCCTGTGAAACTCCCAATGACCCCACCGACGGTGGTGTTCTCCTTCACCGTCACAGGCGCCGTCGGCGTGAACTCAGGCCTCTCGTCGTTCACGTCCAGCACGTTCACCTCCACTATCGTTACAGCTTTCTTCTGCTCAAGATCTGTTGCCTCTACCCTCAGTCTGAATTGCTTACGAGCACTCTCATAGTCCAATTCAATGTCCGGGTCCACGGTGATGTTCCCCCTGTAGCCCCTCTTGTCTGCAAAGGTGCGAATGATGAAGCTGCCAAAGCTTCCGTCGATTATGCTGAAAGAAATGCGATTGAAGTCTGTGGTTTGGTCCAAATCCTCAGCATAGACAAAGCCAACATATGCACCTGATTTTAATGGAAAGAAATACAATTAAAATCAGGCCACACAATGCTGAACACCTGAAATCCATTTGCAAACTTTAACACTCACCTCGTTCTCCTTCTTTAACAGAGAAGTTATAAGAGGAGGGATTGAATTGTGGAACATTATCATTGATGTCCTGCATGAAAAGAAAACACTAACAGTTATCAACTTCACCAGGGAGTGGCAGCATCAGTAGCATCACAGCACCAGAGTCTTAATATACATTTCTGAAGTCTCACCTCTACATTGATAATAACTGTGACCACAGACGACAATGGAGGACTTCCTTTGTCAGTAGCAGTTACGTTGAGTTCAATCCTCCCATTCAGCTTCGGGTCCAGTGCCTCTCGATCCAGTTTGCCCTTGTTTTTTAACACGCCGGTGATTGGGTTGATGGTGAAGTTGTTACTGTACTTGCTCTGCATAATTCCATACACGATTTGGCTGTTTTCTGTATCAGCATCATCTCCATCAGTTGCCTTTCCAAATGAGAAACATTAGAGAAAACATCTAGGAAATAATGTGTTTTATGTAATGTTGCTACTAATGTAATGTAAACTGCATTCCTGGAAACATGTGGACACCCTAAAAAAACATTTGTCTGTGACTTGAAAATATTAAATCCCAAACTATGACCATTCATTTGCTGCTATGACACCATTCATTCCTCTTGGTGTCTGTATAGGAATACTGTGATAAAGTGATAAAATAATATCTTTAACTTGTCTGTTGGAGCCTGCAGGTGGCTGCTGGGGTGGTGGGGAGCTGACAGGTAGTGATACTGATGCAAGGCAGAGGCATCCACAAGCAAAGAGATGGATGGTAAATCATTGCTGTTTAAATACACCACCAAATTGAGAGGGTGTGCAATGACAGACAATCGTAGAGGCAGTTTGAGTTGACTGCCTGAATATTAAAAAAAAAATTTTTTTTACTTGGATCTGCACCAAATTTCACACACTCATGAGTATCATATTTTCTTCATCAAGATCTACAAATTATTCTCCAGTGCCAGCACGGCACCAACACCAGAAGGATAGGAATACCTACTGTTGTCTTATCATTCTGTCACCGTTACCTCAATCTTAATTTCAAGCTGTCCACCCTCCTCCACAAACACCAGGTAGGAGTCTCGGTTGAAGACGGGATTCTGGTCATTGATATCGGTCACAGTGATCTCCAGCACTGTGGTGCCAGGCTTTTCATCTATGTCTCTGGCCTCCAGAGTCGCTGAATACAGAGATCTGACCTCGCGATCCAACAGAGTCGTGTTTTTCACATATATTGTGCCCGTTTTTGGCTCCACGTCAAAATACAGTCGTCTGGCAACACAGATACAGACAGATGCATTCGGTGGTGTTGTGTCAGGGAGCATGAAAACAAAATATGCAGACAAAGGCTGCGCTCAAATACCCAATAAAATATAGTTTGGTTTGAGTGTAGACATACATGCTCTCTGGAAGAAGTCTGTAGGTGATGTTGCCTTGATCCATTGTGTCAGGATCCTCTGCCTGGGAAAAAAAATAATGTGAGTGCATCTGAGAGTTTCTTACACAGTCTGAGTGAGAAAATAAGACAAGTTTAAGACATACAGTGATTGTGGCCACTATCGTCCCAACAGGAGAGTGCTCAGACACATTCAGCTTATATGTGTCGTGTGGGAATATGGGGCTGTTGTCATTGGTGTCCTTGATGTTAATAGTAACTGTAGCAGTGGAGCGGTAGCTGGGTTCATCCTCATCTATGGCAACCACCTGTACACATGGTGACACCCACACATTAACACCTTAGACTGGTCAAAACACAATTATGAGAACATGTCACAGCCTGTTTTGAACTCATACCTGCAGAACCATTTGCTGTTTATCTTCAAAGTCCAGCAGTTTGGGCTGCTTGACCAGGAGCTGTATGATACTATCTGCTGACGTATATTGAGGTTCCACAGAAAACACGTCCTTGTCAGTTCCCTCCAGGATTAGTTTTATGCGGGAAATCTGTGAAATTCCAACAGAGATTATTCATGCTCCATCATGAATGTGACTCTTTTGGTTTTAAATGTCATAATTTCTTACCTTATCGAGGTCTTTGACCGTCATGTTGATCGATACAGATCCCAGCGAGTGCTCAAAGACCTCTCCTGTGAAGTGGCTCGCTGTCACACAGGAGGCTGCGTCTCCTGAGTCTCCACACTTGTAAAACATAGGCTTGTTGTCATTGAGATCAATGATGTTGATCAGTACATTTGCTGTGGCGCTGGCTTGTGACCCATGGATGTTTGGTTTAGACTCGGTGGCCTAAAACATAACACAGAATAATCATTTTACTTTCTCAACTCAGCTAAAATATATTTTCTACCTTGTGTCTAATTTTTGTAACATATCACTGGCACCATTGAGAGGCTGTATGTTGCATTTTCCTCCTCCCACACATGAATTTGGAGTGAAAAAAAAACTCAACCTCAGCAAATATTTGCATAAAATTACATATTGTTTTCTGGGAGAGTTCACGACACCATGCTTGAAATGGTTTTGTGACTGAGAGGAGATTCTGCTTCTGTCATAATTTCAGTCAATTTAACTTAGGTTCAGGAGCAAAGATCGCACCTTCTTCACAAATGACTTGTCTGCCTCCTCATCTCCTCCTCTCTCATCAGGAACCAGGCAGAGGGGATGACAAAGCTGCGAAGGCTCGTCAAGATGTCTGCTTGTAATGCAATTTGGAGGAATTATTGATCGTTTATAAAGATGGATGGCATGACAGCTCCGGGGCTAAAGTGAAGCTAGAGCCTCTTCATTACAAACTGGTGATTAACTGCATTTTTAGGTTTAAATTCAGCCTCCTCCATGTTAGCGGATGGGACATGGACCAAACAAATAATATGCTATATAAAATATACAATAATATGTCATTATACACATAAAATGCTTTTTTCTCAAAGATGTTTTCTGTAATTTTAGGTGTTTCTTAGCACACTGATGTTTGTCCAAATGTGAATTTTTCTGCTAAGTTTGGTTTTAATTTCTAATTTGATGATATAAAAACAAAGCCAAATGTGGCTGTGGCTGCTGCACAGGACCCAGCCAGCAGCAGCTCTGAAAATCCCCTGACAGTCTCCATGTTGTTTTTTCTATTGCTGTGGTAAGTGCAAGTAGGACCTTTGTAGACGGTATTAAAGTGGAGCCTGGGAGTAGTACTCGTTAAAATGTTCCCATTCTGGTTTTCTCCCAGCTGCAGCTTCAACATCTTATCTTGACATTTCAGGAAATATACTTTGTCACTTCCTTGCCAAAAGTCAGATAAGAAGCTCTGCCACCAACTCCTATGGTCACTGATTAACATGGTGTATCTCATTTCTTTAAATACACAGAAAAACACAGTGTTGTGTCGTTGCCATGAGAAGAAGCTTGTAATTGGAGGATTTTAAGGCTGATTGGCTGTGAGCTTCATGTTTATTATACTAGAATGAGAGTGGTTTCAATCCTTTCATCAAATCCAGTATGAAACTAGAAAAAAATATATATTCCATGATGTTGAACTATTCCTTCAATTGTTATACAAAAATGTTAAATTAACAATTATTACACTCAATATTATTACTATGTATATTTACAGTACCTTTACAGTCAGGCTAACAGTATCACCAACATGTTCTCTGTCAATTGGTAAATTCACAGATATGACGCCATTGTCTCTTGAGATTTTAAACAGGCCAGCTTCTGTGGAATCTGTCAAACAATGTGAACAAAAAAGACAAAATCATTTCTCACTTGCTTGCTCTCACTGCAAACAATACACTGTTTTTATTTTTGTGTAGGTTGTTGAAGCTCACTTATAATGCTGTAGTGGATAACATCATTGATTCCTATGTCTTGGTCCATGGCAGTCACTTTAAACACAGACGTGTCCTGTCAGAGAAAAACAAATGTTTTTCTTAAAGTAGCTGAAAGTCTCTTATTTACACACAAACTATGGACTGTCCGTGACACAAACAATGTGGAGGCTTTGTGTCTTATCACATCATGATTTGCAGTGAGGAAAAAAAGAAAATACATTTAAGGGGAGATATTATATATATTATATTTAGATTGTCTGCTTTGATTGGCCAGCTGGCCCACTCTGTTTTGATTGGTCAACCACTTCCAAATTCCCCTGGCTTTGTTAGGGGCCTGCCAGAATAGCTGTAGCCAATACTATATCATGTGACATCACAATACCCAGGAAGTTGCTTCCCTGAGCAGTGTTTTTGTGGGAGACAGGAGCTCCCTTTGGTACAGACTTTGGACTTGTTTAACTTTTACTTACACAAAAAACTAGACACATACTGGAGGAAAGGGAAAACCTGAAAAGGCGTAATATGTCTCCTTAAAAAAGATACAAGGTTACATGGCTTTATGTACATTTGTTTCCTTTTTAGCGGAATGGTGAAATGCACTGAATAGAATATTGTCAATAAAACCTTCATTCACCCTGCATGCACCCTGAATAAACTTCATGAGCACTCACCACCGGTGAGTTCTCCTCAACTCTCCCTATGTAGGGAACACCGAGGAATTGTGGGTCGAGATCTGCAACGTCCTCAACCGCAATGAAGGAATATACAACACTGGAGAAATAGTTTGTTTCATTATAATGACACTGGCCCCCACCATCCTGAAATTAAACACACAAAGGGATTGAAACTCAAAAATTGTTAGGCAGCATGTAATAGAA